AGGCGCATCAGTGAGTTTGCGGCTGCTGCGCAGGGGGAGGGGGGAGATGACTGAAGTAGGATGCAGATACTACCGTTGTTAAAAGAGATGTGTTAACTTAGAAAATGTGGGCACAATTTTAATTGTCAAAAATTATGGGGCTGCATGGTGGCGCAGTGGTTAGCACTGTTGCCTCGCAGCACGAAGGTCGCAGGTTCAAAACCCCTCTTTCTGCGTGGAGTTGCGTGTTCTCCCCATGCATGCGTGGGTTTCCTCCGGGTGCTCCGGTTTCCCCCACAGATCACAACATGCCCTATAGGTTATAAAAAAAATAATAATAATTGTACGTCGCTTTGGATAAAAGCGTCTGCAAAATGATTAAACATAAACATAAAAACTCCAGCAAACCTACCGACCGACCCCCCCCCCCCCCCCCCGCCGCTTCCGGCGTATGACGTCATCAACGACTAGTCGAAGTCGACTCGACTTTCATTACTTGACTGTCGACTTTAAAAAAAATAAAGTCGTGCAGGCCCTAGTTTGTATACAGCCTGCCTGAGCTTCCACTACTGAAGAAGAAGCCCTTCAGCAGCCGGCTTCTACAGTCTCTGCCTGAAACGCAAATGTAAAGATGGACATAAGGACGTTTTTTAGACAAAAAGTACAACGACAGAACTCCAGCTTTGAGACTGGTGCTGACTCAGGTTTGTGAGTCTTATTTGAAAATATTTGTTGTGCTGCTGGTTTGCCTAAAGTTAGCTCAGGTAAAGTTGTTAGAGAAAGAAAGGGAATATTTACTACCATCTCACACTAAACACTAACAGGAACAATACTCTTCCCTGAATATGCTGAATATGTAGCTTCAGATTAAAATTATGTGGTACAAGACATATATATACATGATGTTGACTAGTGTGTGTCACGTGTGTGCACGCGCGCGTGTTAAGCCCCGGATCTTCTTCAGTCCTAAATCCGCCCCTGCATGAGACCTTGAGCAACATCTCATGCAGATTAGTTCTGTGTCAGAGACATCTAAGGAGAGAGGGTAAATAACCTTCGGTGGAATAGCTCCTTCATCACGTTACAGCAGATACATTCAGTGATTCTTGTTCGATGTGGTATGCAGGGCCGGATTTAGGAGGATGTGGGCCCATGGGCTTCAGTCAATTTAGGTGGCCCCTTTTTTCAAAATTGTTGCATAGACGCACGCACGCGCGCACACACACACACACACACACACACACACACACACACACACACACACACACACACACACACACACACACACACACACACACACACACACACTTATAATTTTACTATTTTATTTTAAGGACTACAAATTGAAACTTTTTTTTTAGATCACACATCTTTAATAAACCAATTCACACACACTACAATAATCCTTGAATGAATAGATTTGCATTTTATAGAAAGAAAACGTTATTTCAACTTTGGCTTCTAATAGCTGTGTGAATCAATAACCTAACATTAGGTCGTCATTTAAACATTGAACATTTTAATACAATTCAAACTCTGTTTTTGCTGTCAAATAAATAACTTTAACAAAAATAAACAAAAGGCAAAAGCACACTTATCTGCCACTAAGATAGAAGACTGTGCTCAAAGCTGTATGGCTCTCTATGGGAAGAAATTTAAGAAAGCGTTCCTGGGAGTTCCCTTCAGGTGACACATATCTCAGAATAAATGTTAACTGATCAAGGTGGGAAACATCTGGTGTGGTGGAGTCAGCAGAGATCGAATAGTATTTGGCCATGTTTACTTCACCAACTATTTCAGACAGAACACGATTACCCATCAGTTGAACAAACTCTTCACATATTTTAGAAGAAAGATATGAAGGTGTCCCTGCACCTGCATTTCCATATTTCTCTATGTGAGACTTCAAAAAGGGATCAAACTCACTGATTAACTCCAGAAGGCCCAGGTAATTACCATTATCAGTCCTGCCAAAAACATGACTAGATCCTCTAAGAGGAAGTCCTCTCTCTGCCAAAAACTTCACAACAGACACAACTCTTCTCAAAACTTCAGTCCAATATGCACTCTCAGATTCAAATTGTTTTTCCAGCTCTGAATCTATCCTTCCAGCAGCTGACCCAAATGTGATATATGTTAGCATAGCTTTTCTGTGATGTTCACTGTTTTCATGCACTTTCATCCGGTTTGTGGCATGTTTCCAGCTGAAACCAGTTTCAAAGCACGATTTGCTTTGAGCATCACTGAAAATGCAGCATGCAAAACAAAACACAGCTCCGGTAGATGGAGAGTAAAGCAGCCACTGTCTTTGGAGATACTCACCATTGGCGAGTCTGCGTTTAAAGTGCGATCTGGAGAAGAACCGCTTCTGCTGTTTGTACACTCGTTCGGACGCTTTAAAATTTACGTGCATATGTTGGCAGCTCTGCGGTCATCGCTCAGCCCAGTAGGCACGCACAGATGCATCACATTTTCCCCAGCAAGCTGGATCCGTACTGTAACAAGGTTCATCCAAAGTTTCAATCCGTGGCCCAGACGCACTTTCGGTCGCCAGTTTTCCACAATCACTCTCCGATGGGAAAAGATAATCCATGGAGGACGTGGTGGTCTCAGATGCCTCCAGGTCGAGCGTCTCTGCTGCCGGAACATCCGCCGCGGATTCAGCCGCCAATTTTCCACAATCACTCTCTGACAGGAAAAGATCATTCGTGTTGTTGGACGTGGTCTCAGCAGGTGCCGTCGGCGCCGCCGCATACGGGGGTATGTCAGGCTGCAAACGCCCGCCGTGATGTAAGAAGTGTGAGAAAACTTGGACCAGTTATAAGCAGTCATGACAGATGTTTGCCAAAACAAATCCCAGTGCTTCTCAGCTAAAGGGTAGCATCTTGTTACAGAATTACATACAAAAATAAAAATGCTTTGTGGACCGAGGGCGGGGCCTCCAGCACACAGGGGCCCAGGGCTGTAGCCCAGGTAAGCCCATGCGAAAGTCCGGGGGTGGTGGTATGCGCATGATAGCAGTGTAGCGAGATGAAGGTTCTCTGATGTGTGGCAAAGGTCACATTTGCCCAGCTGGGTCAAGCTGGGACAAACAGTACTTTTTGAATACACAGAATAACCCAAGGAGCCATGATGTCTGCTCAAGATCATAACATCATATCTGCTGTTCCTTCCCAAGAAGGACACTTCAAGCCACGATGATAATAATTAGATAATAATTAATAAACTCATTGATTTTATTACTGTTTAATATAATCATCATAACATGATCACTTGGTTAATATAAAGGTATTTTAATTACATGAAATGGATTATTTTGCTTTGGGTAATAATAATAATTATTATAATGATTAAAGATGTGTTCAGCAAAGAAGGTCAAGTTCACCTTATTCAGCTAACACAGAGTTCAGATAAACAATAACTGCATCACATGTTTTGACGCATGTTCAAGCTTTCTTCCAGAGAGAGTGGGAGTGGTCCTGAGAGCTTTTGGTAAAACTAACCATCACAGATTCAAGTTCAGTTCTGAAACCAAACATCATCCGAGCCAGGGACGGCCGCCCTGACCCTCTGCCTGCTGTTCTAGTCACGTCGACCAGAATAGCCAAAGAATAAACAAAACTGTCACCAGCTAACGAAGACTCTACCAGAGTCATTGATTTCTGAAGTTAAGTTAAAGACGAGAACGTTCATCCGCCAAACGTTTCATACATCAAGTGACCCAAGAAGACATCTCAGGACCGATCTGGTCGTGCCAGAGGTTTTTCTACCAACCTCGTGCCTGGAGGAAACCCATCTCCACCTGGACACTTGGGATCCAAACGGGGGTCTTCTGATTGGGAGAGGTAGACCTTGACAGAATGCATTTGATGCTGTTTCTCTCAAAAATAACCCAGTTATCCGCAAACCATCATTTCCACCCAGAACGCTTTCATTCTCTCTGAAAGAAACCTTCTGAGAACTACATTCACACATCCAAAACTCACCATTCTCATTTTAGCTCCATTCAGTCACAGGTTTGCTTTTAAACAAGTTTAATATCAAAACTGTTAAAATTGCCATCCATGAATTGTCATTTTATAATTGTCGTTTCAAATCTTTCAGTTTAAAATAGTTAGTAATAAAATTTCTTCATTTTTAAACTTGCCTCATTATTGAAACGAAACACAGAAAAGGGTTGCAATTCCATTTATCGAATGAAAAGAGTCTTACTGAATCTTCTGTTCAATAAATAAACTTTTGCAATTAATTTATCTTAAATTAGGTATTAATCCGTAGATTGATCATAGACCAAGCTCGTTGGTGTATAATCTTCTATCGCTTATATTAATATTTTATATTGATATTTGATAGAAGCTTCATATATTAACTAGTTTGTGTCATCCGAGGTCTAACATTGAATAGCACAGTGTTAGCGCTGTGTGTGCGAGGTTTCACTCCATTACAGCAGCAATTTGCTTCAGTGCCCTGACTAACTGTTAGCTCATCAATCAGGACAATTACTCTAAACAGAGGCTGTCCATGAAGCTGGAGGGCAAATTAGGAAATATTTACACATTTTACACAAGTACACATCTAAATTTTTTGTGATATTTTATCAACATTGCTGAAATGTTGATTCCTTGGTATTTTTCCATGTTAAACATCATTTTAATGTTTTTCTGATCATAAAGTCAACGTGTAAACTCTAAAATACCAGGAAGGAAACCACCAGAGTTCCTCCTCGTGCGTTTTTTGTCTCTCCATTAGCTCTTCTTTATCCCATCCGCCATTAATTAATAGGCTTTCGTTTCTCTTTCCACTTGGGGCATCCTTCTGAAGTCTAACTGAGCCAATTACATGCACGAGCCCAAACACGTGCGCGGAGGGGCTCGTCTGGCACACTTCACTGCACCAACCAACCATTTAAATAACCCACACCTACAGTTTAAATCATGAGCACGAGTTCATCTCACCACTTTTATCAGTCAGGATGAAACAGCTTCGCCTGCTTTCACGAGAACCCTCCTCCTCCTCATCCTGTTTCTGGGAGGAATGGTGTGGACTGGAGGGTGGAGGAGGGGGAAGTGTCTGTATGCAGGAAGGATGCTGTAGTAAAGTAGAGGAGGAGAAACTGAAGGGGAGGAGTGCAGCTCCCACGTCAGCGTCCATCAGAGGAGCGCACAGGAGCCGCTTTCTCCCGAAGTACCGGGTGACTCCCTGCGCTCAGACAACCCCATCATCCTAAAATGCGCTGACCTTCTCCCCAACAAAGGTAAGACTAGCTACAATCTGTCTTAATCTCAGTTTCACACCTTAATCTCAGCTGCTATTCCACCGAATCCGCTCTTGTCCGCATCCGTGACCGTTTTCCAACCAGCGCGGGGCACATTTAGGAACATTTACGTGACACATCAACATTTATTTATTATTTAGGAGTGTTTGTGGGCCTGCGCAGCGCGATGACCCCTAAACCTGTCCCAGAAAGGGGTCAGAGAGACGCCCGTGCAGATATGAATCGAATAGATTTGGACGATCAGATCCAGTTGATATTTTTGATCTTCTGGGCGCAGTTTGGTGCGAAATGCGCTCTCTGCTGTGGTTTCTGAGGGGAGATCTTCCTCTGCGCTAAAGAAACAGACATTCTGCAGAGGACTCCTATGGAGATGTGCTGGAGGAGACAGTGTTCTGTTTCTGGTTCTTAAACATCTCACCAGAGAGCTTCAGTTTTTGGATCCAGTGCTTTAGCGGCGGTTTGGGCACCGATGTCCTTGTCTCTCCGTTTCCGCCTTCGCCCTCGCCATCGCATCTCTGAGAAAAAATATCAGAAGTTTCTCCTCCTTATCTCGTGTGATATGTGGGGTATGAGGTGGAATGTAGGGTTAAATTCGCTCCTCACAGCAGGAGATTCTCCTGCGTCGTGCGTCAAAGTGACCTTGTAAAGACTCACCGGGGAGGATGACAGGAAGGAGTGATGAGCAGTTTTTTCCTGCTCTGCTCGTGATTTCTGCTTCTCTGGTGGAAGTCTGGTGTTGCGAGGACTTTCCTAGCTTGCTGTTTGTGTTCAGATGAGGGATGAAGGCACAACGCATGCCTCAGAGCTGCTGGATGAGGAATTCATGAATTATTCTCGGTGTGTGATACATTTTACAACTTTTCATGTCTGATGCTTTCGCCCTGCAGACTGGCAGCCATGACTGCAGAGCTTCTGAGCTGAGATGCTGCAGCATCACCACCAGAAAAGGCACAAACCAGTCAGTTGTCCTCTTGTTTGGCTGAAAACAAAGTTTAAGCTATCTGAAAGAAATCTCGACATGCTGCTGCGGGAAGAAAATATCTGTGGTGCTTTGGATGTTTGGATGTTTAGCCCAGCCTCATAGTTTAAAAATACAACTTAGCACACAACGTCTATAGCTGCTCGATTAGAGAAAACCAAAATCACAATTATTTTTGCCACTATACTGAAATCAGGATTGTTTAGTCAAATGCACGTTTAAGGAGCCTGCTGTCACCAATTTAAGTCAGCAGGTGGCAGAGCTGAGCAGTTTAATTTACTGGAAATAGTACTTGGTAACATTCAGACTTAATTTAAAACTGTAATGCAATCAAAGCAGAAAAAAGCTACAGGAGCCCAGAAGGTCCAAACAGAGGATCGGCGAAAACGTTGTTTTTCTGTGACTGGATGTCACCACACAAGGCATTTTTCAAAAATAATGGAGGCGTGTCTTTGATGCTTGACTTACCCTGCCAGTGTGTTTTGCTCTTATTCTATTTATTTAAAAACATGAACATATACCATACCATACCATACCATACCATACCATACCATACCATACCATAGCAATTTATTTGTAAAGCACCATTTCAAAATAAGCAGCTAACCAAAGTGCTGTACATAAAAGAGCCAAATGTTTGAACAAGTGTGAGTTTTGCTTTCAGGAAGGGTGACATGAGGATCCTTTGGAGGGACAACAAAAAGTCATGACTGGAAAGTGGAATTTGACCAAGTAGCCAACGGAGTATTCCATTTGTGCCATGATTTTTGCGATCATTTGGAGCTCAAACAGAAATTCATTTACACACTTGATTGATTGTGTTGTCGTGTTGCCCTAAATTATTTATTGCTGCAGATTTGAAGAAGAATGTTGCTGCAAGGTTAAAAGAACCAACCTGGTTTAGTTGTTATAGTAACTGGCATAAATACTGAATACTAGAATACTCATGGTGTTTTCATTTTTGATCCTGAGATCTTTCCACCAAAAAACCTGGGTCTGGTCTGTTCACATCATTCCCACCCCAGCATAGCTTCTGGTTGTCCTCTCCAGAAGTCAACTATTATTCACCTGAGGGGCTTAAATAGTGTAAAATAAGCCAAACTCTTTATATCTTGTGCCCTTCTCAGCCTCCAGGAATCATTTGAACATTTATTTTTAGAAATGGACTTTGGCTTCCTAGCTGGACGAGAGGAAGCCACATTGCGTTTATTGGACCCTTTTTGGAATTTATATTTGTGTATTTATAAATAATTAGATGCACATTATACATCAGCTGCTAGTTGAATTTGCCCAATATTGAGCATCTCTTCTCGGTCCAGAATGATCCAATTCTGAGGAGTGGTGCTGCAGATTTAAAGCTGCTGTAGCAAATTTGGAAAGTAAATAAGTTTAAAGCAATTTTTTCTACTTCTAAATATTGTAGAGAAAAAACATAAAAAACAATGAAGTGGTTCTCTCACATTTGTCTAAAAACCTCCGTTAATAACATGTTTTGAACCGAAATCAGCCATTGGACCATCTGGTTGTCGGTCTCACCGAACGCCATACTTCCCTGGGTCCCCCACTCATTGTGCACTCGTGCATTTAACAACAGAACACCACTGCTGTGAGAGGATCTGCACTCAATAATACCAGAGGAGGAGAAACAGCCGGCTGCTACCACTTCACCTTTAGGACAACCAACCAGAGTCCCTAAAAGAAAAACATGATCTGAAGCCACGGACAATAAAAGACGTTTGGATCTAGAAAACAGCGACTGATGTGTAGCACTGTCTCATATCCATGATCACATGATTCCATGTGATGTGACACAAAGGTTTATAAAAAATTATCATATTTTATGTGAAATTTAGAAGACTGGAGCTGCTTAAAGATGATGGCAACACAGTTTGGTTTTCAGTCTGACTAGCTGTTAGCTTATCAATCTTGTTAATATAAACTCTATGTTTTGAGCCGACGTTCAGTGAACTATGGCAGATATAGTCAAAGCTATTCAAAACGTTTACTTTATAAAATAGACCCTTTGAACTCCACTGTAGCTCAGTTGTTTGTAAAATAAAAACTTTATTTCCTATTTTCTTTTAAAACAGAGAATCTGAAATAACTTGCATGATACTCAGAGGTGTATTATAAATGTTTGGCTCCAGATTATTGAGTTTTAGTGGAAACCAGGAGCGGTGCCGCTGGTGGTTCTGTTTGATGTTCCTATTTTCTGCCTGCTGCCCTGCTGATTGGGCCATGCTCCTGTTTGTCCTCAAACATTAGCCCTGTCACAAGTTACAGCGCTCCTCTCTCCGGCGTTCTGCACAGGAGGCTCCGTGATGCAGACGATCCCAGCTGGGCTGCTCCGTCTGGGCGCCGTCAGGAGCAGCCATTAGCACAGCTGTTAAAACATATAGATATGATTTTCAGGACTGGGCTGGGTCGTTGTTTTTCTAGAAGGATCCGATTTTGGATTCTACAAATGAAACACTCTGACCTGCTGATAGGCAGAGAGGGGATCAATGGTCTTTCTGCCATCTGCACATGACGGGGGGCTGAAGCAGCACTTAGTGTCAGACTCATAACACACTTTTAATATCACACTGTGTCTTTCAGAGGAGGTGTCTGTGTTGCTGTCATCTGGTTTTTGAGAAAAGGCTCATGATTAATATTCAGTGTTTCTGTCAGGATAATGTTGGGAGTGTCAGCAAACAAGGTTGGCTAAACAAATCCCTGACTCCTGCTCCGTAGAGGACTAAAATCTGGTCTCTGGATGAGTTTTCAGTCAGGATTAAGTAACGGGGCATCTTTCTTTTTCACGTCTTTAATAAACCGGCACTGGCTGAGTTAAACTGAACTGGTTTGGATGAAAACAGGCTCGGCGTATCACAAAACACTTTGATGCTAACAGAAGCAGGAGTGAAGCTTGCAGCAACGATCAGATTCAAGTAAAAAACATCACACTTATTGTTCACAGAGATGCGCTGCAGCAGAGAATCTGCAGCGTGAGGGCTGCATAAGGAGTTCGGCCTTATTTTAATCTCTGCAGGACATTTCTGGGTATCAAGAGGAATTTAGCTCTTTATAAAAGCAGAACTGCACACATTGTTGGGTTTTTAGCCCTGCTTTTATTCTCCATCCCTCTGAAATATGGGGTTATCTGTTATCAAATACTATGATTAGAATAAAGTCACTCTGCTCTGCAGCCATCCGTGCTGCGGGGTCTGAGACTTCCTTTATAAGCTGCCTTTAATAAATAACAAATATACAAACAGACTTATCAGCTTTTTGTTTGTTTTTCTTATTTCCTAGTTAGCATCTCAGTTGGTTAGCATTTTCAGGAAATGGTGCACTGCAAATATGATAAAATGTCTTCAAATTGTTTTAAAAGTGATTATCAACTTGAAGCAGCACACACAAACACACGTTTACGTCACAAGCATCCATTCACTCTCACCGTGCAGCAGCCCTGATCACGTCATCTGCTGATTGTTTACAGTGAAATACTTTAAATCTCTTTTTAACAAAATACAAGCTTCATTCAGGGTCGTTATTTTTAGTTGTTGTCCAGCTTCAACCTGCTAAAACTGATTTTTTTGACTAAATGAATGAGACAACGCTTACCTGAAAAAGATCTGTTGCCTAAATGATAATGGTGCTTCAGAAATCAGATTTGCGGGTTTCAGATGAGCTAATCACAGATTTAAGCCGCCTATGCTGAATAATAACACTTAAATAGATAAAAGTCTTCTAATTTTATTGGCCTTCAGCTAAAACTTCATGTAAAAGTAGCTGAAAATCTGCCATAATGCTAACAGATCAGGCAAGAACTTGTGGTTTTGCACACGGCAAGCTTGGACTGAGGAAGCGAACTCTAGGTTTGCTCAGTGTAAGAGACTCTTATGATTTGTTGGTTTTATTTCCAGTTGAAACTTATGGACAAGTCCCACTAACACCAAACACGAATGGAGAAAATCCCAGCCAGAGCTCTGCTTCTTACAGGCTTTAAAAAGCACCC